GCAAAAATATGTAAAAATCAAATAAACCATAGAATCATTTATTTTTGTAATTTTTTTTTGACAAAATTAAATTATATCATATGTTAGCCAATAGATCCCAATAGATCTCAATAGATCATCATCTATTAAGATCTATTGACCAACGATCTATTCATGCATACTGCGTCATTTAGATCCAATGGATTACCAATGGATCTGATTCATTGGATCATTTAGCTATTGAAGTTCAATGGATCTGATCCATTTCCAACCCTGAATTAAATGATTTGATTTGCTAAATAAATAAATATATAAATAAATAAATTATAATACCTAATTAAAAATATTATTCATAATCTTATCTTGACAACTGAAGTATTATCTTAAAATATTATATAAAATAATATATTAGCATTATTAAACATCCTATCTTTGATGATATAATAGAATTTGAAGTAATTATCTAATATTTTACATACGAGAAAGGTCTAGTATCATATCTACTTCATCAAGTATAAATAGTAGGATATTAAAAGTCATTAGACATATGCAATATTTATTATTTTTATAAATTATATCAAATTTTTAAATTGGGATGACTTACAAACTATCATATTGATTTTACAAATTTTTTAAATTAATCATATAAATATATTTTTTATAATTTTATTATTAGTATTTTGTAGGATTGCCTTTATTATCAATAATAGCAAAAATACTATATGGTATATTATCAATAAGATTTTTATATATACTTTCATCAAGATTTAATTATTCTTCCTGCAAAATTTGCCATAAATCATCTTAATTTTTTGGTAATTGTTTATATTTTCTGACCTTTCTATCTAATACATCCCATAAATTTTCTATGTGATTTAAATCTGGACTTTGTACAGCCTATAGTAAACTTATAATATTATTTTTCATTTACCATTTTTTTACTACTTTTGCAGTATAAATAGAAGTATTATTTTCTTGAAAAATTTATTTATTTTTATTTTCTAAACCATTTATATATAGTATTAAATAATTTTTTAATATTTTTTTATATATTATTGCTGTAATTCTACCTTCTAATTTAACCAATAGACCTAGTTTATTTTTTGTAAAATAATCCTAAGCTATTTATTATACTCTGTTGATCTGATTTAAATGTAGAAATAAGACATTTTAGATCATATTTTTCTTGAGCATTTTTCCAAATATATCTCTTTTCATCTTCTTTAAATACCTCAAACCTAGATTCATTATTCCAAATAACATATTCCTATTCATTTTTTCAATATTTTCTTTTTTTAGCTGAAGTTAATCTTTTCATTTTATTAACTATATTTACAAAGGGTTTTTTTGCTCCAATCCTTCTATAAATTCCATTTTTATGTATGAAGATTCTTTTAAGAGAAATTTAATTTATATTTATTGAAATAAAGGTAACAAAATTTTCACAAAATTTAGCAATATTTGTTCTATGATCTTTATTAAGAATTTGCTATCAGTTAAAAAAGGTGGTCTATCACTTTAAGGAGGGAGTGTTTCAAATCCATTATTTTTATATATAAAAATAATATCATGAACTGTATTTTTAGCATAATTTAATACTTCACTTATTTTTCTTTCATTAAAATTACATTTTCAAGCATTTATAATTTTACTGTGTTAAAATTCAGAGAGTTCTTTATGTTGAATAGTCATTTTTTTAATAAAACCTATTTTTGGGACAAATGTTTATTGATAAATAAAATACAGAACGTTATGTAACAAATATAAAAATTTTTATTCAAATCAATAAGTAGATTATAAAAAAAATTTGATTTGAAATTTTAGATTTGAAATTGAAAAATGATTGACATTGCGCATATATATTTACTCAAGACGATATAAAAAGTAATTAATATAATATTATTTCAAAAAAAATATTTTTTAATACGATTAACAAGTTTACTTAATAAATTAAGATAAAATTAGTTAAAAAATTCAATGCTTTATAATAGCTGAAATTTTTGTATTAAAAATACTAAAATATTGCATAAAATATGCAATATAAATTTTATTACCAAATTAGATATCTATAAAAATTTTATGATATATGTAATTCATTACGATGTACAACTTTAATTATTTCACTAAAATCGATTAAATTAATAAAAAAAAGTTTAATTTAATTTGAAGTAAATATTTCTGTCGATTTCTTAATTTTTAAGTGCCCGGTGACTTTTGATACCCCACTGTACATTAAAGCAGGTTTAAATTGTAATAATGACAATATCAAAGATAAAGCAATAAGCGATCTATTAATTAAGTATTAATTCAGTTTTAAACAAATAAATAAATATATTTTTAAAAAAAAATATGCATTCGTACTGACCGTTGCCCACCACTTAGCTCAGATAGACTTTGTTTCCATACTCCTCCAAGACTCACTTTAACTTCTATATATCCATTTAGATCTAAACCCTCTGGTGGTTGAAACTATTTGACAACAATTTGCTAACAATGGCTCTGAAATCCAATAAATTATTAGTAACTATATTAAATTTTATCATTTATTATATTAAAAATTATTTTACTCGGTAACTTTATTCCAAGTTATCTGTAATGCATCTTTTTTGTAATTATTGAGAAATATAATAGTAACCTCAATTTTTTTTCTTATCTTTTTTTAATTTTAATAGTGCGCATTAGGGATGGTCATGGTCGATCAACGGTCAGTCAACGGTCGGTCAGAGGCCTTTGACCGACTGACTGATTTATATTGACCGGTTGACTGGCCCATATAACAATAATATAATTTAAAGTTCTTGATCGATAATTTTAATTTAAGCTTAAATAATATAACATGGTATTTGCTAAAACTCCGATTTTTATATATTTTACTTATTTCTTTTAGGCTAACTCGATATGCTTATTAAGTTTACTTTCAAATTTACAGCATTATCGCAAACTTTTTTTAAAAAACAAATCAAAAATTTTTATTTATAAAAATTACATAATTGGATTATTTATTAAAAATGTTTGGTGCGGTCGGTCAAAAACCTTTGACCGACATCGGTTACGGCTATGACATTATGCATATTACTGCATAGAACCCAAGAATTAAAGTACCATTAGAAGTATTTTGAAGAAGGAACAAGGTGAAAAAATTGCTCCTTACATTTTCAAAATAAATTATACTCAGAACTGGAAGCTTATCTAAAAAAAGAAAGGATTACATATGAAATTTACCAAGAAAGAAAAATAATAAATGTTGGAAAAGAAAGCAGAATATAAAAAAACCTAATGCAAAATTACCATCTACTTTTATTTTATTTTTTCAATAAAACTTTTAAAATCAATACCAATTATAATGTTTCATTCCACTATAACTTTTCTTTTTTTGTGATTTAAACCTTTTTTTTTTTTTACATACAAATTTGGGTTACTAATTATGTGGGGGTAACGCGGTCCTTTGTAACGGTAAAAGTGTTGGCAGAAGGGGTGATCTTTTGCACTGCAAGGTAATATTCCATAAGTCGCAAAAAAAAATTAAGTGAGGTGCATATGAAATACATAAAAACAGATGAGACATCAAACTTTCAATCTATACTTTAAACATGTAAACTTTTTCGATAACCTCTCTAAGGACATATAATTGGTCTTTTGAATTCGGATTACTGAATTCTGTTAATATATCAACGACATATATGTCCATATTTTGATGCATAACATAGATCGTAAATGTTCTTTCTAAGGTAATGAAAGGAAAGGGCAACCATGACTTGCTTTATATATATGATATTAATTAAATCCATGTCACTTACGATATACAATGATTCCGTAAGATTCCAAAGAAGCGAGTTGTTGCTTTTTCGCTCCATCTTGTAAGTGATGTTGGAGTTGGTAAAATATAGATATCTGCATGTATTTAAAATTTTTCTCTGTCTTCATTTAGTTTTGTAATGTCGACATAAATAGCACTTCCGACAACGTTGATTGTTGCTTAATTTGTTTTCGATTTCTCCTCTATGCAAAGAGAAAAAAACTTGATGAGCAGAGATCTAACAAAAGGAAATATTTTCAACAAGAATGAATCTCAAACTCACGTCTTCACTCGAATTAGGTCCATGATATCATCAAATTTTTTGCAATTATTAGATTGACAAAATCTTCACGATAAGAAAGTTCTGTTTGTTCATGATCTAATAACAAGTTAATAGGTGATCTGAAAAGAAATAAACTAAAAAACGATATCAATTAAAATTAGATATATACAATGGAAAATAACAATAATAATGAATACTTACAATCGTTTATAAATGTCTTGGGTCCATAATAGATCAAAGTGCTCTTTATGAACAAAAATGCCTACATATGGTACCGCAATCCAATAAAATTGTGTCAAATGCCGATTTGTTTTCAAAATGGGAGAAACAAAAAAATAGGTTGAGTTAAAAAAAAATTATGTCTTTACTTTTTCTTGGTTAGTTCTCTTTGGCGTAAATTCTACATCGAACACTCCACCATTATTTATATTATTAAAGGCACCATTGATTGTTGTCCCACTTAAAGTTCGACGATCGATATGAACCCGCACACACGTGTCTTTTCCCATTCTCTGACCCTTTTTATATCCTAATCATAAATTAGTAGTATTCTTGAATATCATGCTCTCATCTAACTTTCACATTGCTATCTAACTTTCATTTCGACATCAGACAATCCCGGAGATCATCTGATTTGACAGTGTTAGTAGTCCCAGAGACTTTTAAACATCAGGCAATCCCAGAGACCACTATATAAGCCGATAACATGTCTATCACTTTATTCTGTCTGTCAAAGAAAATACAACCGCGAACGCTTTCGAAGTTGATATTGAGAAGGACAAGTCTATTAGCAAACTCAACGTGTTAAATGACAGCGGAAATACTTCCCTCATAATGATCAAGACCTTCGTGAGATGCTCCGCATATTCGTATCAAAGAACAATCTCAAGTTTACCGTGTTCATAGAAACACCCTCAAAAGCCTTTTCAGATTGGTCATTTCCAAAGGTGTGTCAACTTTACGGACTTGGTGAATCAGACGATCCTTCGTTACCAGTATTCCCGCCTCTCGCAAAGATTTGAAAGACGATTCTTCCCGGGCAATACTTAAACATCTTATTGCTGAGCTGAACGCCCGTCTCAAGGCCAGAAATGAATCATCAAAATCGCAATATGTTTGTTCGTCGGGATAAATCTATACGAGGGTAAGTTTGAGCTTCGACCAGAGAAAAATTATCGCAGGGCCCAATGGGCATGGCCCAGTCGATTTTGCAATAGATTTGCTCCAAACCGTCAAAACTGTCGGTGTAACAGAAGTAAAGGATGAAGATTATTTAAGGGCATTGCTCAGAATGCCGTCCAGCTCGAATCAGCTTTACCAAACCGTAAGCGTAATGCAAGTGAGATGGAAGGAGATGCGTTTACAGGAAAGTTTTTTTGAATTGTCACAGATGCGGAAAGTGGTATTTTTTAGAATGTTTGCTTGATGAACAAGACAGGTTAAGATTTAAGCTATCGAAGCCAGTAATAGTTGTGTACGGTATTGAGAGTGGAAGGTAATGTTGAAAGAGTTCTTGGAAATGTTGCATGGTTATTGGAGGAGGCGCAGAAACCAGACTCGGCTCTTGAGATAGACAAAGAAAGGGAAATCAAAAGGGTATGATCAGGCGATCTTGCGGGAAAAAAGAATTAGGATTTAGGAATATATACGTCTCATAGCATAGAACCATTATGTACTACGGGCAAAGTCCCGACCCTTTGTATTTATTTTTCGCATGTATTAATAAAAAATTTCTATTATCTTGCGTGTCCCTGAGATAGTTATAAAGATAAGAAAGTCATAATTGCTACACTGATATAAAAATCTACCGCAGTCATTAGCATAGAAACATAGTGACGTAATGTATCACTGTTACGATGTAATTTATTTACTACATTAATAAAGAATTCGGCCGAAAAGGCTATAAATTTTATCAAGCGTAGGATATAGAAATGCATGGTGAATAAAAAAAAGTGAGACCTAAAGTCCCACTTGGATAAAATAAATCGCGTCCTATATAAAAGTTGTAATCGAATATGCAATCTGAACTTGATAAAGAAATGCGCAGATCAGTATCGCGAGAAGTAATTGCATGTAATTTATTCTTTAACCTTCCCGCATATATTCAAAGCTTTACGTATAACAAAAAAGACCTCCATGTTGATCTTTGTATATGGATAGCGTCAAAGTCTTTTTATTATAATTTTAAGCGAATCTGTTGATCAGATTTTTGTGATGCGTTCATATTAATTTTCCCAAAAAGCGTATTCCAAAATCGATCCTGCGAATTATATAAAAAGATGATGTCCTGGTTAGTGAATCCTTTATCTGCCTCATGCAAGAAAAGCAAAAATCGAATGAAAAATTCAAACTGATCAAATCTTACCATTACATCAACAATATCTCTAATCAAACGAACTCGTATTTCTGCAAAGTTATAATAAAGTAAGTTCAGTTATCCTTAAATCAACGCAGTAAAATTGTCACATCAAGCATATGGCGCAGTAAATCAATATAATTTGTGTGAGTAATCTGATTCGTGCGATAAAATCATCAACAAATCAGACAACAGCATATCCTGCTTCTCTTTCTCCTACTAAGCAAAAAGTATCAGCTATTCAGAAATAAAGCAAAAATCTACCAAAAAAAAAAAAAAAAATCTAACGATCACACCTAAAAATATAGTTCCTATGGTAGACATTCCAAAGGTAAGGCTATAGGTACGTAACAGTTTCCCAAGCTAATAAAGTTTATTAATCGTTGCTGATTCAGAGGCTCATTATTGCCCTTACTACATCGTTCCTCTCGCTCCCAGTCTATTTCCCAGTCTACTTCCCAGTCTGCTTCCCAGCCTACTTTCCAGCCTACTTCCACTATCGACTCTCAAACGTCCTCACAATCTATACAAGAGAAAAAACACAAAAAGAAAAGGATCCAACTTCTTTCTAAGGATGTTGATTCAGCTAGGGAGCGCTTGCTCGCTTTACCACAAGTAGAAGAACATGGAGAATACACGGGATCAAGCGAAATCATTTTAAAAGAAAATGTTTCTCTCGAAGAATATCTTGATTATCGTGACAAGAACCCAAATCTTTCAGTTCGCGTATATTTACATGATGGAAGAATCAAGGCATATGAAGTTCCTTTAACCCCCCATGCAATGGTATCAGCAGTCATTAAGATATTGATGGGCAGATGGAATTATCATGACTTGGAATATGGAGATGGTTCAAATATGATTGTAGGGCAAAATAGTGCGAAGGAGCCTGACTCTTGGATCCGACCAGTAAAGCGTCGTCGAAGTATGCCTTATAAAGCAATGGACAGATTTGGGGGCGCGTATCCAACGATGATAGTCGAAGTTGGTTACACACAGAGCCTTCCTGACTTGCATCAGAAAGTAGCACTTTATTTTTCCCAAGCAACATCAATTCAAATCGTGTTGACTATTAAAATATTTGATCTTCGTGCAGATAATACTCTTGCACTAATTGCCATGTTATACCTTCGTACAGATCAAAATCCTCTGATCCCGGTCAAAGTTATATCTTTTGGGAAGGCAGATCCTGTGCAATCAACCGTGAACTATATCATTAATACTATGAATGTGCCTCCTAATAATTTTATTGGTGTTGGACGCACCGTAAATGATGTTAATTGTCTTCCTTGTGATAGGGCTGGTATTCCAATATACCAAATGAACATTCCTGCAGCAGAGCTTTTCGATGGAGACCCTAATGGCGTTCCCATGGCTGCGGCTGGAGGATTTAATCTTGATCTCTGGGAAGTTCAAGTTAAATCACTAAAGGGATTCAATTTGTCTGATGATGAAAGTGATGATAGTGAGGGTGAGGATGAGGATATATTATAAAATTTTATCAATGAGTATTTAGTGTTGTTTGACGAAACATTAATATAGTAAAAAAACGGTTTTTATTGCAATTGTAGCATGTTTGAATCTTAGCTAACCTGTGCATTATACTTCTTTTTATTGAAAATTAGAATTAGTATTATTTATTTCATGGGGAGTTAGGAATAATATGGTTTTTTCCCTTCGGGAAAAAACCATGGTATTCCCTCCCCATGAAATAAATGTGTAATCCCCAGGAGCGTGTCACTCATTAAACATAACACGTGATTAGCGATTTAAACTTTTTTTTTGCATTATTTTTTTCCCACGCTTCTTTTTTCTTCCTTAAACATTTTCTTTCTATTCCACATTATTCAAATCCTTCTTTCTAAATTAATAATGACAACGCGATTTGTTTCATCAACTAAAGAAACAATTTTAAATTTTCAGAAAGCATCAAGAAATGTAAATACAGATAAATCTAATAATGTGTGGATAGGTTTATTTATTAAGTTTCATGAAGCCCGTGGTTATTTAAATGAAATTGTTGAATTGGATAATAAAACATTATCCGATCAGTTGGAACAATTTTATGTAAAGGTAAGAAAATCTAATGATCAAGAATATAAAGCATCATCACTATATACTGGATTTTGTGCTTTGGCAAGAGGAATTACTGAAATATTTGAGAAAATTAGGGTTGTGAATTTATTTGATCTTTCTCAATTTAAAAGTTTACATAGAACTTTGGATGATCATATGAAATCAATTGCTAATCAAGGACAATATAATCAAAAACAATCAAATCCACTAAAAATTGATGAAATCAAATTTATACTTAACTTACCTATCACCAATACAGATACTCTTAAAGGCCTTTTACGAAGGGTTTGGATCTGATTAACTTTATTATGCTGTTTAAGAGGTGGTGATGCCAAACAATTGAAAGCTTCTTGGATTATTGAAATGGATGATGGTGGAATAAAGCTTGAATTACCTAAGGAAAAAAATTATGCAAGAGGAATTAAAGATCCATATGCAGTATCTGATATTAGTTTTATACCACCTGATACTTCAGAAAACATTTATACTCCTGTTGCAAATATTCAAAAATACTTAAATAAACATCCTAATAATGTTGAGAATGATTATTTCTTTGTATCAATCAATACATCCAAAAATATATATAATGATAATTGGTATTTAGCAACAAAGTTAGGAAAAGGATCACATGATATGATGATGCGTAATATATGTTCTGATTCTGGTTTAAATTTTAAAGATCGTAATATTACTAATCATTCAATGAGATCAACAGGTATTCACAATCTTGTTGAATCTGATATCATACTTGATGAACAGATGATTTTTTCACGACATAAAACAATTGCAGGTGTATCTGCATATCAGCATCAATCTATCAGCGTAAACGAGATAATGCTTCTCTTCTAATTCCTACTAAAGATACAGCATTAAAGGATTCAACTAATTATACAAATCAATTAGGTATGTAAACAAACATTTATGAAAATGTTTTAATTTTATTGTTTAAAACTAACTATATTTATTTTTCAGGATTTTTTAAGGCATCTGATTTAATTAAACGATATAGCAATACTAACTTTATTAAAAAAAATGAGTCAGATGAATATTCAACACTCTTTTTTATCGAATGACAGATTCATTTTTTTAGATTTTTTCTTGCCTGGCCATACTAAACTTAGAGTTTGTAATATCTATCTACATGTCTCTACAACTGCTAATGATCGATCTGCATGACTTCAATTACACAAACATATTCTTGATCACATCAAAGATAAGCTAAAAAACAATTTCAAAATAATAATCCTTGGTGACTTCAATGTTGACCTTAATAAATATTGGTCTTACATAGAAAATAGAACTACTCTCCCTAGAAATATGGATTCTATAATAAACTCTTTGCCCTTAATTTTTTAGATTTATATGATGTTTATCATAACTAGAACTTACCAGTTTTCTATTCGAATAATATTCAAATTATTCAGATCAACAAACCCCTATTTGAATATTTACTGAATGACTAATATTCGATGAATAAAATCAATTTATTCAAATATCGTTTATTCAATGAATAAAATTAATCTTATTCAAATAACTTTTTATTCGCTGAATAAAAATACATATAAATTACTCATTGAATAAATTTTATTTGCCGAATAATAAATTATTTGAATTTATAAACTTGAATCTTTTTTATTTATTCAAAACAGTTTATTTATTTTATACGACTAACTGATAAAAAACAAGACTATAACCAACATTACCTAATATTATGTAAATCATTAAAAGCTAAGTAAAAACAAAACTTTTTTGCACCCAGAAGTTTTTTTCCAACTACTTATTTGTCTTTTGGTTTGAATATATCAAATAACTTCATATTGCGTTTTAGAAATAACATGGATCTCAACAATTCGGGTTTTAAACAAGTACGACGTGAAGATAAATGAAGATTAGCGTCAGAAAATAGTCTTTCACTTGATACAGATGTAGCAGGAATCGACAAATATTTTATTGCCAACTGGGATAAAATTGGAAATATATTAGTTCAACTTTTCACCATTCTAATGGATCACACCCTTACACTTCTTTAGATAAAATTAAATATTGAGCCACTTCATCAGACATAACACTATCATCATCATCAGAATCTTCATATATTCTAAGCAATGAATAATTAATTTGATGAGGATTTCGGTTAATATTTGGTAATTTATTTAATGTTGGTAATTCAGGTGAATTAGGTGAATTAGATGAATCATCAGATAGATTTTCTGTAATATTAGCTTGTTCAGCTGATATAATTGTTTAAGCTTATCAATAGTTGTATCACGTTGTGTTTCAGTAACAAATTTAAGTTTTTTGAACTGAGGATCCAATAAAGCTACAAATAGTGTAACTTCTTTTGGTACATCCCAATATTGACACATACTTAAATAGATGGTAGCTTTAACCTGTTCTATAATACCAGTAATATTAACTGGTGATTCAATAACCTGATATTTTTTAAATTGTGAATTAACATTATCACGAATAATCTGTTGGCTACTATTATTATAGCTTACATTATGTCTTCGTTTACGACCACGTGATATAATAAGAGGTTGATTGATACAAGCTGCTGGTTCAACAATTCCTTCATCTGAAATTATTTCATAATCTTGTTCAGCTTCTTCAGGTTCTCCATATAATAAAGTTGCATAGTAATTTTCATCCCGACCTTCTGGTGGAGCAACTTTTTTTTTGAGATAACATATTGTACAATAACCCATATTTAATGTAGCATATGAAGCACTTGATAACATTTTAGTTGCCTCATAAAAAGGTTCCAGTAAAGTTAACAAAACATATCGGAAAGAAAACTATAATAGATAAAGGTAATAATTAATCAATTATTTAATATAATATAATTATTTATGGATAATAAAAATTACCTCCATTCAGATTCAGTTAAATTAACTTGTTCCAAATAATTACCATCATCCTTATTATCTTTATCTGATGATATTTTTAAAATAATAATCAAATAAAGGATTACGCGTTTTAATTCAAATAGACGACTTCATGAAAGGTAAGTAGAATTCCACCTAGTTTTAACATCAAGTAGAATTTCATACACCTTTAGGTAATTTAATTTTTGTTGAGCATCTTTAAGATTTTCTGTTTGTTTAAGACTACCTCTAAAATATAAAATAAGATTTGTGATCCGCTTTTTAAATATTTCAGCAACGCCAATACCTTTAATTACACTAAGATGAAGAGTATAAGCACAACATGATACATGTGAGATTCCTATCAATTGAATGGCTTTTACAATATTAGGACCATTATCTGTAGTAGCAATGAATAGTTTTTGTTCAAATCAAAATTGTCTGATTATTTGTTCTATAGTATCACAAATATTTTCACCAGTATGTTTTCCATTAATTTTTTCACAAGCTAATAAAGCTTCTTTAAAAGTCCAATCGATAGGATCTAACTATCCAGCTATAATACCAATATATGGTTCATCATTGCGTGATGATTACAAATCAGTAGTGATACAAATAGATTGAGCACTTTGTAACATACTGGTAAGCTGCTCTGTTGACTAAAGAAATGCATCATTAATTATATGTCATGCTTTTTCATCGCCTGGAATATTAAAGCCTGGACATGTAACATTCATAAAAGCTTTAAATGATTGGGATCGTAAAAGATAGAGTGGTTGATAATCATCAATCACCCAAGCCATCATAGAGAGTTCAATGTCTGGTTGTTTTCTAAATATAGCTTTTCCACAAGCAATTTTCATAGATTCTTCAATATTTCCATCTTCTGCCTAAATTAATTGTTTACATATTAGTATAATAGATATTTCAAATAATAAACCAAAAGAATTTTAAAAGAATAGCATTCTTACATAACCTGTAGGATTATTTTTTGTAATTCCATGTTCATTATCCAAATGATAAATCAAATTGCTTGTAATACCATGGAATTTGTATACCACATTTTTACCTTTTCTCTGACATACTTGACATTCAGCATGAATCTTATCATTCAAAACTTTAAAGTAATCCCATACGTGACTTTTATTATTAGAATTCTCAATATGAAGTCAGCTTTGTTCTTGATCATTAATGCTATCTTCTATACGTAAATGTTTGATACCTTTAAAAAATTTAGAATTTTTAAGCAATAATTACATTATTTTTATATATTTAGTAAAGAAAAAATTAACCTTTATTGGTTTTACGGCCTTAACCTCGCATTTTATATACAGTATGATTATCAAAATTGGCGTTTTACAAGATAATATCAATAAACAATCATTTTGATAAAGAAAAATATATTTAACTATATATATATAGTCTAATGATTATCAATATCATGCATAGTTGTGTAATGTATAGCAATCTTATTTAAATCTGAATATGTATACCCTTATTCAAATAAATGACTTTATTCGAATAAGATTGTTTTATTCGAATATGATGGCATATTTGGATTATTCGTCGAATAATTATTTGAAAATTTTTTATCTTATTCGAATATTTGTCGAATAACGAATATGAATCTGAAGCTCTAATCATAACTCACCCCAACCCACCTTCTATCATACGTTATTCCAATCTAGAATTGATACTATTTTTGCCTCATCTAACCTAATTTCTGACTTTCTCTATTTTGATATTGAATAACTTGAATTCTACTCCTCTGATCACAAAATTGTTTATGCTCACTTTGCTGATATCAAAAAATCCAGCTCAGTGCGATCAAGATTGAATCAAAATAAGCATCAATTTCCCAACCTCAAAGCTATAAATTCAATCAAATGGAATGAATTCACAGATCATACAGATTTTCTTTACAATAATCAAAACCTTTAATAACTCAAAGATCTTTCACTTTTACTCTCAAATATGAATCGTTTATGGACTGAAATCAAAACTGCTATTTTGATAACTAACAGAAAATGTATACTGTAGCTTTGGAATTCTTCAGTAGATAAAAATGCTTCATTTATGAATCATCTGATATTACAATCGCTACAAAATAAATCAACTCTATCCTTCTCAAACTTAGAAATAAATTTACCTAACATCAACAATAGCCAAAAGATAAATGTTAGACTGACATCATTAGTACTATATCAAAGATCACAAAAAAATTTGATCTTCCCTCATTTGATATTTCTGCATCTATTGATCAATCTAATATTATTGCTATTAAAACATATCTAAAAGATACATACAAGACATTACTTAGTTATGCTAAAATAGAATTGCAAAAATTAAAAGAATTATCTATTAAATAATGTATTAATCAAAGATGTGACAATCTATCTACTAACCTAGGGTTTCCATTTGAAAATAGAATATTTGAATATTTGTTTGTCAAATAAAAAAAATCAAATATTTGAAATTGATTGACTAATTTCAAATATTCTAAATCATTTTAAATAACGAAAATCATTTCAAATATCAAAATTAATTTCAAATATCAAAAATCATTTCAAATATCAAATTAATTTCAAATATCAAATTAATTTCAAATATCAAAATTAATTTCAAATATTAAAAATCATTTCAAATATCAAAATTAATTTCAAATATCAAAAATCATTTTAAATATCGAAATTAATTTCAAATATCAAAAATCATGATTTGATTTTGATTATCAAAATAAAAATATCTTAATACTTTTAATTCATATACATTTAATTTATATTTTGAATTAGGTATATAAAATTTTTAAAAGAATTAGTATTATTAATAAAGAATCTATTTTGAAAATAATCCAAAGACTTATTTAATTTATTTAAAAAAATGAAGGATTTGTTTCTTATAGAAGTAAAAAAAATTTAGTAAAATAAAGAAACTTATCCTTTAAAAAAACCCTAAAGAATCTATTGAAAGAAAAAAAACTTATCTATCTAAAAGAACAAAAGATTTATTTCTAAAAAAAAAATAAAAAAAAATTAATAAAAAAAACCCCATCTTTTAAAAATCTCAAAAGTAACTTACTTATCTTATCAAAAGAGAAAATTTTTATAATTTTAAAAAAAAAAATAATAAAATTTTTTAAAAATTTTAAAATAAAATTTTTTATAATTTTTATTATACAGTAAATAACTGACTAAAAATAAATATTAAAAAATGAAAATTAAAAAAAATATATATTTTGATAATCAAAATTAAATTATGATTTTTGATATTTGAAATAATTTCAATATTCGTTTAAAAAACTTTCAAATGAAAACCCTATACCAACTCTTTCAAAATGATCGATTCAATCCTAAATAGAAAAAAAAGATTAATTATCTTGGATAGACTTTTGTTTGATATTTCTAACTCCAATGATATTACCAACTGAAGCTGAACACCTCATTAATACCAGATGGACAAACCAATATCAATCACAAGATCATATTGATTCTAATGTATATAATAACCTAATACAACTTTTAACATATGACGAATGGATTTCATCTTTATGTGGCCTCCTTAATAATAAAGCTGCAGACTCATCAGGAATATTCAATAAAATGATATCTTATCTAGGAAGTCATTTTCAACATCTACTTTGGCAATTAATTTGTATGTGTTTTATGTTTGGTGAAATTTCTAATGAATAGAAGATAGCACACATATATCCTATTTTAAAATCCATGAATTGGAATTGCAATATAACTAAAACTAGACTAATTACATTTCTACAAACAGCTCATAAAGGCTTTGTAAAAATCATTAATAATAGATTATCCAAAATCCTAGCTAAGCATTACATATTAAAAGGAAGAAATTTTGCAGAATTGCCTGGAAGGTCTACTAAACCACCCATTAAAATTATAAATATGCTATTAGAAGACACCATAGAAAATAAAAAAAACATTTAGATTTTTCTTCAGGATCTTTTCAAAGCTTATGATAAAGTGGATTTCAAATTTCTCAAATTTGCTTTTCAGAGATTTAAACTCCCCATGTTAATCTCAAACCTAATCATCAATTTCTTTACTATTCACAAGAATGCTTGCTATCTTGACTTCTGATGGAATCTCCTCTTACTACGATGTTAAAATTGATATAGATCAAGAAGAAGTCATTTCACTCTTATGATGTATTTACTTAGATCCTCTTTTATATAAAATCAATTCTCTTAATAAAAAGGCTATAACATTAACCATATATAGATCTCTGATATTACTAATAACTCAACTATCACACTTTCTGAATCTATATCTTCACTGATCTTTATGGATAATACTAATTGGATTGCTAATAGCCAAATAGATTTAGAATGTATTCTCAATGTAGCTGATAACTTCTATAACTTAACTAGAGCTGCCTTAAACAAAGATAAATCCAAGCTTCTTGCTACCAATTTCACATTATCTTTTCCTATTAATTTTTGCTTTGAATCCTTATATATAAACATAATACCTGAAACAGAATCTGTTCGTTTTTTAGAAGTTTGGATCAATAGTCAACATTTACAGGATATCAATAAATTCATTAATGCTATGAAATATAAGCTAGTAACTGACAAACAAATGGCTTACATCATTAATATTATCTTCTGTCTTTTATTTGAATATTGCATACAAATTACTTCCCTATCAAAAAATGAATGTGATATCTTATTTACTCCTATAAGATCACTGTTCAAATCAAAACTTCACTTTTCTTCTACTCTTCCCACAGTTCTCCTACTGTAAACGGATCTACAAAGTGATCTGCAAAATCGATCTACAAAAGGAATTTGCAGAATTGATCAACAGAATGATTTACAAGATTGATCTACAAATTGATCTACATGTATTACGTGATATTAATG